CGGGCTAAGTGTGCTGATTTGACGGACTAAGTATGCTGATCTGACGGGCTAGGTGTGCTGATCTGATCAGATGTCATACCTAGCCCGTCATATCAGCATACCTAGCCCGTCAGATCGTCATACTTAGCCCCTCAGATCATCATAGGCTTAACCGTTGTATGACAATCTGACAGGTTAGCTGCTACGTCAGGGTGGGAAGTAGCGTTCAAAGCAGTTCGCTACTAAATTCTGTTTACCTCCGACTAAAACTTTTTGTTTATTACATCACCCATAAATAAACAAAAGTACTTGACTTTCGGTGTGGTTTTCTGGTAAGTTTGTGTGTTTACCTTAAACTACAACCTTTAGATGGGGTATGCTAATCTGACACTTATACTGTCAGACTACCTTACCCCGTACGAAAATCTGACGTCTTGCGCATGCGTATTGACTATGGGTATGCAACCTTTTGACGGGGTATGCTAATCTGACACCGATACTGTCAGACTACCTTATCCTGTACGAAAATCTAAAGTCATGCGCATGTATTATTGACTATGGGTATGCTGGTCTGACGGGGTATGCTGACCTGACAGAACACCACCAGAGGTTCGGAGCCAAACTTCACTTCAAACTTGACTGCTTATGAAACGCCTCTGAATCAGAGTCCTCAGCGGACCCACGCACACACACGCACACACACACACACACACACAAACGCACACACACACACACACGCTACGGATCCATACGGGTACTACAGCGCGTGCACACTTTGTCTTCTGTGGTCCTGAAATAGCTCTCAGCCTCCCACTCTCTGCCTTATATAAGCTCCCAGCACGGTGAGGACCGGGGTGTGTGCAAAGATGTGTTTCCAAGCCTGTTTATGTGTGTGTGTGTGTGTGTGTGTGTCAGTGTGTGGGCAGTAGGAGGGTCCTGAGTTGTGTGTGTGTATGTGTGTGTGCATATGCATGTATGGAAATGTTTTGATGCCTTCCTGAGAGATGGTTCCTGCTGGTCACACTCCTCCGAGGAACACCGGTTTTAATTTAACTATCCGCGTTATTTTTACGGGTTTTGACCGTCATCCGTTGTGACAGCGCCCAGATCTGGTGATATGACGAGAGCCGAGTCATATCACCAGGGCAAATAACACATTCTGGTTGTGAACAAACTCCGGCG